TGCTAATAAATAATACCTGAAAATATCAAATCATATCAGAAACCCCAGACATACACGCTTATTGATCACACCAGATGTAACTCCGTCACCTGGGACTATGAGAGAAGTCACACCCTAAGACAAATGAAGCAAGAACACTGACCTGTCACCCTGTCACTCAGCACAAGCCTCATCGAAGAAAACTATACAGTACAGAACTCTTGCCTTCAGCTTCAGCTCCCGCCAATGACATTCAAACGGCCTGTACTGAACCTGAAGCGTACCTCTGGGTCTGCACTTGCTTCTTTTCTGAGTCCCTGCAGACTTTTCCTTACAACTATGTTGGCTCACTGCCTCCAACTTGAGGACAGTTTCTCTGGACTCGGAGGCCTCTTTAACCCTTTCATAGACGTTCTGTGGTATGAGTATCTAAAATGCAAAATGTGATCTGAGAATTAATATTAGTAATTAAGACCGGACTAAAAGAACCAGTGACTGGGAGCTGGTGAAATAGGTCAGTGGGTAGTCTGAGTCGGGATTCTAGTACATTCATAAGATCAGGTGCAGTGAAACCTAGACATGGAGCAGCAGAGACAGGAGGATTGCCGGCTAGTCTAGATAATCAGCATGCTCCAGGTTCAGTGAGAAGCCCTGTCTCAGAAGTGGAGGCTGGGGAAACAGGCTGCAGTTAAGAGAGCTGCTCTGCTCTTCAGAGGACCTGGCTTGATTTCCAACACCCACATGGTGGCCCATAATCAATAACTCCAGTTCCAGGGGAATCCAGTGCCCTCTTCTGGCCTCAGTGAGTACTGGAAACATAGCAAAACATCCATATATGTAAAAATAACATAACATCAACAAAACAAATTTATAAAAGTAAATACAATTAAGAAGCTATTAATAAAGACACCCCAGTGCTAACCTCTGACTTCTTTATGTATATACCCATATGTGCACACACACATACACCAGAGGAGAGAGAGAACCATTGATTGGCAATGGCTACTTGGCAAATCACAATCAATTAAGCTAACATATCTTGTGATTTTATTATTCAAGTCCTGAAATATAGAAAGACATAAACATGTCTGTGTTTCTGGCATTGCATGCACTTAGTCTTCCATCTTAAAGTAGGCACCATTTCGCTTAATTGCAAAATTAAGAAACCAGTAGGTTCTCCAGGGATCACAGAACCAGCATATTGCCCACAGGGCTCCTGGAGATCATGAAGGTGCTTTGAGGACCAGTGGGGTGGATTGTAAGGAGGGCCGACAGGGTCAGTTTTAGGATTTTGCTAATCCAGCCAACACTCACCCATAAACTTACTTATGCTAGTCTCCTGGAACGGCTTGCCTTGAGGCCAGAATTCCATTGCTTTACTCTGCTCTAGTCCATTTCCGTTGGCCCTCTGCTATAAAGGAGGCTACTGGTCCCAGAGAACTGCTGAAGATCATACAGTAAGAAAATAACTATTTGCGTCCCGGGTAGGAGTTTCTATCAAAATTACTGCCCTAGGAAGCCTGTGCATATATAAGTCACACTTTGCCTTCCAAGGGCTTAACTAATGAATAGTTGTCAGGACTGGAGAAGAGTAAAATTCACATCACACCATGGCTGAGGCCATCATTGCTCCTGCCCACTCCTATACCACCACCTGAAATAAGGAATAAGCTAGGTGCTAAGGTCACACACAGGGCACTTTCTGAAGTGCATTTCTGGGGCCTCACTTCCACAGACCAAGTCAAGTAAGAAAAAAATAATGAAATTTTTTAAAGATTTGTGCCTGCATTAGTGCACACCCACTGGGTATATGCTGCGTAGGTTTATGTGTACCATGTGTGCACAGTTGCCCGAGGGGTCCAGAGAAGACATCAGATTCCCTGGAAGTGGTGTTATAGGTGATCAGGTGCCACTCGGCATGGGTGCTGGGAACTGAACCTGGGTTCTCTGGAAGAACAGAAATCACTCAGAGCACTAGGGGTGACAGGAAAGTGAGACCACAAGAAATAGAAGCCATTCTTAGGTGGAGGATAAGGTTGGCTTAAGTCATGACAAGGGGGGGGGATTAGAGAACCTACGGTGGTTTGAAAGAAAATGGCCCCACAAAGAGTGGCACTATTGGGAGGTGTGGGTTGTTGGAGTATTGTGTAGGGGTGGTTTTGAAGTGTCTTAGCCTCAGGCTACTCCCAGTGTGGCCCACAATTACTCCTGCTCCTTGCAGGTCAAGATGCAGAACTCTTAGCTTAACTCTTAACTCCAGCACCTTGTCTGCCTGCACGCAGCCATGAAGATAACAGACTAACCCTCTGAAACTGGAAGCCAGCTCCAATTAAATGCTTTCTTTTACAAGAGTTGCCATAGTCATAGTCTCCTCTCAACAACAGAAACCCAAAGAGTCTCTGGCCTTTGTTAAGCAGTGAAGTTTTGCAGCCTTGGTCTGCCAAAAATCTGTAGAAAGAACTCCAGAGGTTCTAGGGCAGGAAGGAGGTCACAGCAGTAAAGGGGCCATGCCACTCACAGCCACATCTCAGCTTGGATTACTCATGGGCACTTCAGATTAAGAGTTCTAAACTAAACCATCACCAACCCTAAAATCCTCAGCTTGCTGGGTTCCTTATGGATACAGAAACATCATCCATGCAGCTCCTATAACTAGAAACACAAATTCCTCTCCTAGTTTACTCCCTACTACAAATCCAGCTGGCTCTACAGATGGTTTTTGTTTACTTGAGTTTGTCAATATACCCCCTTCTCTAGGTAATTTTTACCTGAGATCAGGCCCTGATCGTTCCTCTTTCTGGTTTCCACCGTAATAATGCCTCCTGCAGGTCTAAAATGTTAGCCGCTCTAAATACGATCTTTCTGCTTTGGGTTAAGTCCCTAGTACACTTGGTCCTGTGACACTGGGCTCTTTATTTTTTCTTTTTGCAGTGGTGAATGATAGTGGGACTCCAAATAGGTAGTTTAGGAGGTGATTCCAGGAAGCATGATGAGGGACTTGTTTTGGTTTGTTGTTTGAGGTTTTTTTTTAAGATTTATTATGAATACATTGTTCTGCCTTCATGTATGGCTGCACAACAGAAGAGGACATCAGAGCCCATTGTAGATGGTTCTGAGCCACCACGTGGTTGCTGGGAATTGAACTCAAGACCTCTGGAAGAGCAGCCAGTGTTTTTAAAAAGGGAATGCTTCCCTGAGATTGGGAGACATGGGCGCTGAGATTTACTTGGGTTACAAGCAAATGGCAGAGGGTTTTGTACCCAAAATGACGCTCACATAAAATTTGTGTTTGTCTTGCACATGAAGAGACATCCTCCAGAGGAACTTGCTCTTCCAAAACAGCATTCCTTCCCCAAACCCCTGATTGAGGAAGTCAGACTTGAGACACATAACACGTAGATTTCTGATTGTCCCAATCTAATCATCTTTAGAGGCTTATGGCAGAGAGCATTAACATGCTTGGCAGAGGATGTAACTCAATGGTAACGTGCTTGCCTAGCATGTGCAAGGTCTTCAGTCCTCCAAAAACATGCGTGCATGAGTGCACGTGCGCGTGCACAGCTACCCACCCCCACATTCCCACAAAATGTTCCTGTGTCTCTCCCTAACAGCGCCACATCCCTTCTGCCCCGTTCTGCACTTGTTCAGATCTTGCTCTGCTCTCCTCCACTCATCTGAGAAGTGCGAGTACCGTTTAAGCAGCCCTAACACAGGTTCCTGTAAGAGTTTTTTTTACTCTCATTTCATGCATGAGGAAAGGCGGCTCAAGGATGTCCAATGGCCAACAAGGGCGGAGCCTGGAGAGTGGAGGCAGACTACTCTGCTCCCTCCCCTTAACCACCCTAGGTAACCTTTCCCACCCTCCAGCACTTGACCTTCTCTGCCCAGAGGGACGTCTGAGTTCTTTTGAGTAGCTACAGGGAGATTTGCTCCTACCTCTGTTGCAGAGTAAAATAATAGGGCCAAAGTTGGTATTATTCAGAGTGTGGGCAAGGTCCTGAAGCTAAAGCCACACCATCAGGTCCCACACGAATCACACCCAATTTCAGCCCAGGTGCAAGCTTTCTAAGGCTGTCTCAAAGCAACCATCGCACCATAGCGGGTGTTGAGACTCTGGGCTTGCCGGCCGCCTCAGAGAAAAGAGGAGGGACTTCAGACACATCCAGGCGCTGTGGCAGCGTTTAACCATCCAGCCCTGAATCCACAGATCCCAGGCTCTTGCTGCTCTCTGGCGGCAGGAACCGGGAGCCAGAGACCCGGGGATCGCACCTTGTGTGCTGCGCTGGGGCAAGGGCAAGCAGAGAGTGACCGCAAGTCTAGAGAGAGGAAGGGAGACAGCGAGATGCAGCTGGGGTAAAGAGTGCACAGGGCGGGAGAGCGGAGGAAAGGAGGACAAGGGGACAGTTAGGGCAGAGGGCCGTAGTGGGCACCGGCGGGGACCCCAGGAACCGCTGGCCGCGCAGAGCCCCTACTCCAACCTGCAACCCTCGCTCGCGCGGGCCGCCCCCACCCCCCTCCCGGCCGCCCCTCCTCCGTCCCGCCCCCGCGCAGAGTCCCAAGCGCTGCAGAGGCCGCCGCCTGCACTGCCGCTCCCGGAGCTGCCGCTCGCCTGGACACGCTT